CCACTCCACTAAATTTTGGCCAAAGTTGAAGTCAAATCCACTCCCAAGTAAGTTATCTATTTAATAGGGTGTCTGGTAACGGAAAGTAAACTTCAGCTCTGTTTCTTCAAATTTTGTCCGAATATTACAAGAATGTAAGATGGAAAGTTTGGAGAAATATATTTTTGGAAAACATTATATCAAATGGCAGGCGTTCTGATGGTTATCATTAAAACTCTAGTTGACTCAGGCTTCACAGAGAGGAGGAGGAACATCAAAGTGAAAAAAAGTTGAGAGGGGCTGAGAACAGAAGAGTGTTTCAAAGACGAAGGTAGGAAAGATAGAAAAAAGGTGAGGTGAGTACTTTGGAAGTAGTCGAATATGACATACAGTGGGGTGATGGTAGTTTGTACTCAGAAGTCAACTGCCGGTTTATAAACATTTTTTTTCGGAAAACACAAAATGCAGCTTAATGGGAGGTGGAGAAGCATCGCTGATAGTGTTTCAATGTATGAAGTACAGCTGTACTCCCAGAGGGCAATAAGAATATTATGTGAATTCAATATCAAAAGTCTAATATATTGAGATCGGATCAGGAGATGGATTGGTTAAAATTTATCTAAACTAAACAACTATGCCATTTACGCGGCATATCGGATACATTCAGTGTCATTAATTTACAATACGCGAGCTAAATAACAGGTTATTATCATACTTAGTTATCTCATTTTCAGCATATTATGAATTTCAGAAAAGCGTATTTGCAAACTGTAGCTAATTCTTGCCAAAAATAGTTTAGTAAGGTATTGTCCTGATATGAAAATGAAATTACTAAAGATTTGCACCTGGAATCAGGATAACTACTACAAGGAACTTACCTACCCGTCTTATATAACTAGACTGTTTCCATCAACTGTTCTTGCCTTTGTAACTTTCAAATTAATTACTTCTCCAGATATTGACTCACCCTGGATTACAACGTCCACGCTCCTTGAGTCATTATCAGAACTGCTTATGGCCAGACATCTATACGTTCCTGAGTACGAAGGCAGAGGCTTGAGGAGAGTAAGCGAAGACTCGAGAGAGCTGCGACTAATTTTCCGATGTGTCTCTCTAATATCATCTGTTGGCAAGTCAGAAAAGCCATTAGATAATTCGAGATCACGCTCCGATTGAGGTGAGTTCGGTGATTTTGCAAGTGGCAGCCTGAAAAGAATTATCATATACTCTAATATTTCAAGAAAATAGTTTAAAATACATTATATTTTTACATTACCACATCCATTTGATAAGCAATTTTGACAATTCTAGTGGATCTGTTTCAGCACGGCAGAATAAGGTCACTTCATTGCCAATACTGGTGACAATAGTACCATTCTCGATCGGCTTCTGCAGGGCGTAGTTTCCAACCCAGAGAGGCCCAGAAATGATTCTAGTAGACCGCCTTACAATAAGACGTCCAGAAGCCGAAGAGCTACCGAAGCGGTTGCTCACCACACATTTGTACATTCCGCTGTCCGTTAGCTTTACTTTCTAGATAACAACATTTGTTACTTAGCGAATGAAATACATATTTACCACACAAAAGTTTATTTTTCCCGATTTCAATAAGCATTCCGTAATGCATATTAAAAGTTGCATATTCTGGGTCACTCGGGGATGAAAACCAGATGTTAACTTTTTAAGGCAATAGTAATAATTGTTTTACTCAGTGATTTGTATTCTTAATGGCACATTACTGCGTAATCGAGCATCATATTTTAATATCGACCATTCTTGACTTGTGTAAATAAGAGGTTACCTCGATATAAGCAAAGTACACATGCATTTTATTATTATTATAGATGAACTTTATTTCAATTTAACTAACTCCACCCACTTCATAAAGCCACTTAAAGAGTACGTTTTCATGACACGATGTGTAACCTAATAAGAACTTCTAGGCTCTATGCTTGTACGCCATTCCATTGGATTTCGTTTAGTAGCTTATCAATTTGTAAGATGCCTTCAGGGCTTCTGCTAGTTTTTTAGATACGTGGAAAGAGGACAACTATGCCAGGTGATTGAAGTAAATGTACTGGTATTAGGGGTGTGCAATAGACTTACCTCCACGTGGTGCACCCTGGGCAACGTATGCTCATACGGCAAAAAGGTCTATTAATCAGCAGTTGACTTCTCACTTCAAACTAGCATGACACCACTGTATGTCATATTCGATCAATTTCACAGTACTCATCTCACCTTTCATCTGCCTTCGTGTCTGTCTCTTATATCTTTAAAACACTCTTCTGTCCCCCCGCCCTCTCGACTTTTCGATTTGATGTTCCTTCCCCTCTGTGAAGCCTGAAGTCAGCTAAAGGGCTAATGATAACTACCATAAAGCCTGCCATTTGATATAAATAAATGTACTGCTATTACAGCTTATTACAACAAAATCTAGAGGACTCAATACAGATATCAACCATTACACATCTAGTGGTATGGAAAACTAAATGTGCTTACTACTTATACTCAAGTCAACCTACTAGTACTGCACTTCATCGTGAACATAAATGTGATACCATCGGCTGTTGATTATTTTCTGACTCCAACAAGTTATTATCTATTTAAAAGAATGTCCAAGAAAGTATAAGCTTTGACATTTTATTTATCTAAGTCCTCTGTAAATATTAAACTCTTATTAAA